AAAAAGCCGGACATGTCCGGGAAAAGCCGGACGTATGGTAACCCTAGCACCAGGGAGTTTCACAAGAGTAATAGCTAGAGTCAAACCTTCATTTGTAGGCCTGGAGCTCGCAGGTGGAGACCCAGAATCCTTGTTCTCAGGACAGTGGCCCTTTATAGCTGGGACAGTCTATATTCTGGCCTAGGTTAGACGGAGGTCCAACTAGATGATCCCAGTAGTCAAGCTATGAAGTCTATGACTAACCGCCAGGACCCAGGATGATGCCTCCCGCCACAAGGAAGCTGACATCTTAGAAAATATCAGCTGGTGTTAAACGTGCTCGGAGGGGCAGCTAGCCCCACCCAGCCTCACTCCTACCCCCCAAACAGAGGCACATTTTGTGAAAAATGCCTTACTGTATCAAGCCTGGGGGCTTTTGCCCCTCGACCCATATTTAGGCACCCAGAAAAGTTTCCTGATTCAGTCTGGCCAACTGCAAGCATTCAGAAACAACAAGTCAGGCCCAAACCCCATAAAACCAGGAGACTGGCTTAAAAATAAGCCATGTGGAGGGTTCACAGGCAAGGGGAAGCTGGCGAAGCTGAGCTCAGAACCTGTGAGATCATGGGAGACTTTAAACAATGCTCAGGAGGGTGAGACTCGTGCTAAAATGGCAGGAATTTACAGTGCAGGGGTAGCACTAACCAAACTAGAGTGCCTGGGAGAAAAAGCCCTTCTCCCTGCCGGGCTCAGGTGCCTGGGGTGTGGGGAGCGACCCCAGCACTCCGACAAGGGCTGCTGCAGCCAGGGCCGGCTTTAGGAAGTGCGGGGCCCAATTCGAACATTTTCAGCGGGGCCCCGGCAGGGATGACTAACAAAAAAAACAAAAAACAAAAAATGTAAAAAAAAGCCTTTCATTTCTTCCATGTATTATTTACTTTCCATAACTATATAAATAATAAAATTATATATTATGTACATTGCACAATATATGCTGTTGATCGGTTATTAAGGAGCTCTATTTCACATGTGTGGGTCCCCGCCACTCCCTGGGGGGGGGGTGCACATGTGTGGCTGCAGGCAGGGCAGGGGGTGCGGGCCTGGTGCGGGCAGGGGGTGCAGCAGAGGCAGCTGGAGTCCTGGCCCTTTAAATAACCCCCGAGCCCCCCGCTATCCCAGGGCTCTGGGGGGCTATTTAAAGGGCCCCGGGCTCCTGCTGCTTCTACCGCCCCGGCCCTTTAAATAGCCGCGGGAGCCCTGGGGAAGCAGCGGGGCTCCAGTGGCTATTTAAAGGGCCGGGGCGGTAGAGGCAGCGGGAGCCCCGGACCTTTTAAATAGCCCCCAGAGCCCCGCAGCCCTACCCCAGGGCTCCAGCAGTGGGGCTCTGGTGGCAATTTAAAGGGCCTGGGGCTCCGGGAGGGTATTTCTGTGGAGGGCTGAGCAGAGAAGCAGAGGGACCCGGATCGTTAGCACTGACAGCGCTTGTTGGAGAGCCCTGCAGCATGAGGGGAGGGGTGGGGGAGTGCCGCCTGGAGCAGGGAGATGCTGAGAGCATGGCTACCCGGTGGGGCTATCTCCTGCGGTTTATTAATGGCGGCTCCCCAGTAAGTGGGTCAGCTGGCGGCGGGGCCGCGTCTGGGCTCTGGGCCACTGGTGGGGCTGTGCTGCAGAAGAAGCCAGGTGCTGCCTCAGCCATACATTGATGGCTTGCTCGTTAGCACCAGGCACCCCATCAAAGACAGTCTGGGGCAGCGGCTAGGCGGCGGAGCCGTGCTGTGGGGGAGATGCCAGACAGCTCTGGGAGAGATCTCACTGAGTGGCTCTTTGGCTTCCCAGGAATACTGCTCAGGAAGAGAAGGGCCCTAATGAGTGTAACTCTGCCTCTGCGGGAGGAAGTCGGCCTGGTTCAAGTATTTCTGCCTCTCACTGCGATGGGCCCCAGTGGGGGAATCTGGCTGGTCTGGCGAGGAGTTTCACATTGTACTGCCCTGTCTGTCTGGGACCCTGCCCAGCACCAGGGGCTCTCGAGGCCAGGGTCACCTCTCTCCAGGGAGGCTGCTACCAAAGAAGCAGTTTGTAACCATGGAAACCAGTTATCCTCAGAGATAGGGCTTAAAAACTACCCCTTGCTAACAGCCCTGTGGGAGCAGCTTCCCTGGCCTGGCTTTGACCCCCTTCCTCCCGTCCCGGCGGCGTCTGCTGCAGAGTCCTGGATCAGCATGTTGCACAATAAACCTTGGCAACGGCAAGTTTCCCCAGCCTGCCAGTAGAGACACTGCAGCGCTCCCAGGGCCTATGGGTTCAGGCTGCTGGCGCTGGGACCCACCCTACCTGCAGCAGCTCCCAGCCCTCGCCTGCGTGTCTCTGGACAGCCCAGCCAAGGCACACATCCGACGTGTCCCCAGCCCTGCGCTCGCATTCTCCTGCTCATCTCCTGTGGAGTAGGGGTAAAACAAGACGGGTCTCGCCTCCATATTACCCTCGCCTACCCTACTGTTCCCCTCCACCCCGGCAGATGCAAGGAGCCAGCCCTGCTCCCCACAGGGAGACAGAGCGGGGCACGGACTGGTGTCCTCACACATGGGAGGCTAAAGCTAGGTCCCTGGCCAGGTGATGCCTGAGCACAGCAGCTCTCATGGACTTCCAGGCAGGCCATTTTCTAGGTGCTACTATGGATTCAGGGCCTCATGTTGGAACTGTCACCCGCGGATCAGCTAGCAGCAGCCCTGGAGTAAGAGTTGCACCAAATATGAACATGTTTGTACAGCACCGAGCGCAGTGTGGTCCTGGGCTAAGCGCTGCAGTAATACAAATAATAAAGAAGAAGCCTATAGGATCCAAAGGAAAGGAAGAGCTGTTAACATGTATTGTTGCCAGCCTCTCTGTGCCTCCCCCTTCCCTGCCCCCTCCCTGTCTGGTAGAGAGTCCAGTGCTTCCTGGGCTTGCCCTGGGCACAGGTCTTTCCTGCTCCCACATGCCAGCGCTCAGGGTCAGGGCCAGGTGGCTGTCCTGGGGATGGCAGGAAGGGCTGGGGCTCAGAGTCAGGTCTAAGTGCAGTGGGAAAGGCAGGGCTCAGCTAGGGGAAATCCCCCAGCAGAGCAGCAGTAACTCCAGCTCTCCCCAAAGGCAATGCTAGGGAAGGTTTGCCCCCTCCTGCCCAGCCCGGCTACTTACCTGGGAGCTTGGGGGCTTTGATGGGATATCCCAGAGGGACACCGGGCTGCTGGCCCCCGAAGCCTCCGAATCCTGAAAGACAACAGCAGAAATTCTCAGGGGAATGCCCAGTGCTCCTGCCAGCACCTGCTCCATGAGCCCGCCACCAGCCAAAGGGGACCAGGGGAGTGTCTGTGGGCTGTCCAGAATCCCAGAGCAAGAACAGAGCAGAGCAGGAAGCAACATGTGGGCAGAGCTGGGGGCTCTGAGACCCTGACTGCAGCATGGGCAGGCCCTGAGGCTGTACAGACATCACTTGGGTATATGGATCATGCAAATGAAAGCATGCAGCAGGCTGGGAAACCAGGCAACTCACCGGGAATTCCTGCAAGGGCTCCTGTTCCTCCTGTTAAAGAGAGAAACCGGTACATGAGCCTCACAGCCAGCCAATATGGGACTGAGCTAGTCCATACAGGCCTGAGCTGGTCCATGTGGGTCTTAGCTGGTCCATATGGGTCCATACGGGTCCATACAGGCCTGAGCAGGTCTATATGGGCCTGAGACAATCAATGTAGGCCTCCACCTCACCCAAGTCCCCCCCTACACCCTGTGACAACCCCAGGAAAATGTGCCCTCTCCTACCCCGTGCACTCTTGGCATGATGAAGGATGCAGCCGCCTATAATCTCTGCCCAGCCCTGGCCGCCCACCCCAGCCCACACAGGAGCCATGGCAGCCCCCACCCCACTGGTACCTGAAACTCCCTGGGGAAGGACAACATACCTGGGGCTTTTGCCTTGACTCCAGTCCCAGTGGGCACACCAGGCAGGACGCCTATGCCAGGGTAACGGACCCCTACAACACAGTGCAGAGGGAGCTAACTGAATGCAAGGCAGGGACACCCCCAATGACAGCACCACCAGCCCCCCTGCATCGTATTGTGGGGCCGACCCCAGGATGCACCCACCCCTGTCCCAACGCAGACTTTGGGACTGAGAGCCAGGCACCTGTCTGTGTCCCGATCCCTGCTCTATCCCAACTCCCACTGAGCGGCTGCTGTTGGGCTGTTCTGTTCCCTGGCTCAGATCCTGTCACTTCCTGTCTCCCGCAGTCTTGCTCCCCCTCCCCATTCCCATCCTTCTGTCTCCTCCTGAGCCACATGACCCTCAGTGCCCAAAGGGGTCACTGTCTGTAGCTACAGTTGTTACCGGGGCGGGCAAACTTACTACACAGAACACACTGTTGTCATAATATTTATCCAAAAAGTATCTTGCAAGGTGTCATATGGACCGGTGACACTGGTCATTGATGTTGCACGATGCCCGTATGTTTAGTGCGTAAGGTTATGGAGCTGTGCTGGAAATATGGTACTATACTCTGTTTAGACCAAGCAATCCAAGCAGAGTGGGTATTGTCTGTCCTAGCCAAAGAAATGCTGGTTTGCCTCTCTGCCTGTGTCTCCAGTGTCACTGAGCAAGGCCATGCCAGAGACAATGGAGATACACTTGCATCTGAGTAACAGGACAAGCCTATCGAAAGAGAATCATAGAATATCAGGGTTGGAAGGGACCTCAGGAGGTCATCTAGTCCAACTCCCTGCTCAAAGCAGGACCAATCCCCAACTAAATCATCCAGCCAGGGCTTTGTCAAGTCTGACCTTAAAAACCTCTAAGGAAGGAGATTCTACCACCTCTCTAGGTAACGCATTCCAGTGCTTCACCACCCTCCGAAAAAGTTTTTCCTAATATCCAACCTAAACCTCCCCCACTGCAACTTGAGACCATTACACCTTGTTCTGTCATCTGGTACCACTGAGAACAGTCTAGATCCATACTCTTTGGAACCCCCTTTCAGGTAGTTGAAAGCTGCTTCAAATCCCTCCTCATTCTTCTCTTCTGCAGACTAAACAATCCCAGTTCCCTCAGCCTCTCCTCATAAGTCACGTGCTCCAGCCCCCTAATCATTTTTATTGCCCTCCACTGGACTCTTTCCAATTTTTCCACAGCTTTCTTGTAGTGTGGGCCCCAAAACTGGACACAGTACTCCAGATGAGGCCTCACCAATGTCGAATAGAGGGGAATGATCATGTCCCTCGATCGGCTGGCAATGCCCCTAGTTATACATCCCAAAATGCCGTTAGCCTTCTTGGGAACAAGGGCACACTGTCGACTCATATCCAGCTTCTCATCCACTGTAACCCCTAGGTCCTTTTCCGCAGAACTGCTACCTAGCCATTCGGTCCCTAGTCTGTAGCAGTGAATGGGATTCTTCCGTCCTAAGTGCAGGACTCTGCACTTGTCCTTGTTGAACCTCATCAGGTTTCTATTGGCCCAGTCCTCTAATTTGTCTAGGTCCCTCTGTATGCTATCCCTGCCCTTCAGCATATCTACCACTCCGCCCAGTTTAGTGACATCTGCAAACTTGCTGAGGGTGCAGTCCACGCCATCCTCCAGATCGTTAATGAGAGGGATGAGAGGACAGCAGGGCACCAGCTTCCTGGAGCAGGGGTGAGCAAACTACGGCCCGTGGGCCGGATCCGGCCTGTGGGATTGCCCTGTGGCGCTGTGGGCCCCGTGCTGCTTTCAGCAGCAGCCGGCCCAACATCCCTGCGGCCTCTGGGCCCTTGCCTCCAGGCACCGCCCCCCGCAACTCCCATTGGCTGGGAACGGGGAACCGCGGCCAATGGGAGCTTCGGGGAAGGTATCTGGAGGCGCAGCAAGGGAAGAGCACAGGGAGCCCTCTGCCCCCCCTCCCCAGGGGCCGCAGTGCTTCCGGGATCGGTGTGGGGCCGGGACCGGGCAGGCAGGCAAGGAGCCTGCCCTGGCCCCAATGCATGCCACTGGCACCCTGGAGCCCGAACCCCTTCTGCCCCCCGCCCCCCAACTCCCTGCCCTAAGCCCCCTGCCTGCACCTTGCACCCCTTCTGCAGCCCAACTCCCTGCCCTGAGCCCCCTGCTGCACCCTGCTCCCCTGTGCACCTCAACCCCCTGCCCTGAGCCCCCTGCTGCACCCCGCACCCCTCCTGCACCCCAACCCCCTTCCCTAAGTCCCCTCATACTTCCCGCACCCCTCCTCTGCCCCAATCCCTTGCCCTGAGCCCCTTCCTGCACACCGCACCCCCTCCCACACTCCGCACTCCCTCCCACACCCCAACCTCCTGCCCCGACCCTGCATACAATTTCCCCACCCAGATGTGGCCCTCAGCCCAAAAAGTTTGCCCACCCCTGATCTGGGGAGACATTTCCCAAGAACACATTGCTGGGGTTTACTGGATTATAAAAGGGAAGAAAGGGGACTTGGTTACCCATCACTTAGGGGACAAAGTTCGGTGCATGGTGGGTTCTCCTGCCTGAGGGGCCGGAGCTGCCGGCAGCTGGAAGTAAGTGGGAAAGCAGCTCAGGCAAAGACTGGAGCTTGCCGGAGTGAAGTTTTGCTCAAAGTGATTGTTGTTCTGTTTGTAACCAGACCTGCCCCTTTCCTCTGCTCAGTATCACTTCAATCTCTGGTCCTATTAGTAGCCTGATTTAACCCATCTCAGTGCTGTGGGCCGAAGGGAGGTGGAGGCAGCTGCCTTGGTCATTTCTGTGCGCGGCCAGTGCTAGGGGCTGGATGTCTCGGGGGATCTTGGGTCACCTGGAAGCTCGTTTCAGGCTGGCAGTCTGGAGGAGTTTGCTGGGGAGGCGGGCGGGCGGACTGGCGTGGCAGGGAGCTGACACACAGTCTCCTTCGCTAAGGCAGAGGGGTAACACAGAGGCTTGTGGTTCTAGGCACCCTGAGGAAAGCGTCACACCCATCCATCCTTCCCCTCCCCCACCCTCTCATTTCTTCATCTCTCTCCCTGCCCCAGTGCTCCTGGGATGGATGGACCAATTCCTGCCATCCCACGAGCACTGGGGCAGGGAGAGAGATGTGTCCCCTCTGCACGCCAGGGCTGCGCTCAGTGTCTGGGATGCACGATATGCCCCTATCCACTGGGACTTGCCTTCTTACAAGCCACACCAAGCTGGGCCATTCTAAAGCAGAGAGGGTATCTAGGTGCCTGGGGCCACATCTACAACCAGTGGACAGGGAGGAGCTTGGGAGATGGGGCTTGGCTTCAAAGGCTCTTGTTCTGATCCAGTCCAGGGGAGGGGGACTGGCTGGCTTAGGGGGTGGGGAATGGGACTCTGGGCCTTTTAGGGGGCACCAGCTCCCATCTGGCCCCTGCGGGGCGGGGGACTGGCTGGCTCCAGGGAATTGGGGATAGGAGGTAGGGCTTTTCTCCTTTAGGGTGCGAACCTAACCCCCGATGGCAGTAACCAAAGACTGTTCAGGGTCTCCCATGGCCCTGGGGAGGGGAGGGAGTCTGGCTCCTGGTGCTAGGCACTGTACAGCCCAAGCAGCCATGCCCTGAGGTGGCTCAGTGGTTGTGGGGGCAGCTTGCAGCCTTCTGAGGGCTGGTGGGGGCCAGCTCTGCAGCCGATGTCTCTCTCATGGGCAGCATTGGCACACGGGTCTCCCGGCAGGTGGGCAGGCCCAGGGGCTCCTCTCCTGTGAATGTGGAAGAGGAGCCCAGAGCACACCCCACAGTGGAAATGGCCCAGCAGGCCCCTGCTCCCACACCTGCAGGCTTGTGCAGGGCATGGGGGTGCTGCATTTTCTCACACACACGCCCTCTCCATTAGAGCTGGGGCTCTGTGGTTACTGTGATCCCCTGTCCCCAGGAATTCCACACCCCTCTTTGCCAGGTCTGTGGCAATGCCAGCTGCCGTCTCTCACCCCGTGTCTCTCCTGCACCCCCTTCACAGCGCCCACTGAGCGCTCTGGGGTTCACAGCCCCAGGCAAAGGTGGAGGTTTCCAGGGCCCTGATCATTCCCACCTCACCCCCAAGCCCCCAGCTTGGGGACGGGGGGAACTGCACCGGGTATCCCTGGGGTATGAGCCCCTGAACTAGACAAGGGCATTGCCGTGTTTTCCATACTACCCCCCACCCTGACATGTTTTGGGCTTTGCTGCCAGCGGTAGCCCCACACCAGTGCAGGGCTGCCCAGAGGATTCAGGGGGCCTGGGGCAAAGCAATTTTGAGGGCCTCTTCCATTAGGGTTACCATATTTCAGCAAGCAAAAAAGAGGACGGGAGGAGCCCCGCCCTAGCCCCGCCCCTCTTCACCCCACACCCGAAACTTAAACGGCCCCTCTCCACCCCAAGCCCCAAACCCAAACGGCCCCTCTCCACCCCATGCCCCAAACCCAAACGGCCCCTCTCCACCCCACGCCCCAAACCCAAGCGGCCCCTCTCCACCCCACGCCCCAACCCAAACAGCCCCTCTCCACCCCACACCCAAACCCAAATGGCCCCTCTCCACCCCACACCCGAAACCCAAACGGCCCCTCTCCACCCCACACCCCACGTTCCAAACGGCCCCTCTCCACCCCACGCCCCAACCCAAATCGGCCCCTCTCCACCCCACACCCGAAACCCAAACGGCCCCTCTCCACCCCACACCCCAGTTCCAAACGGCCCCTCTCCACCCCACGCCCCCAACGTCCTTCCCAGAGCGAGCTGGTGGCAGTCAGGCTGGCTGGGCAGTGTCCTGACAGACTGGGGACACTGCTACTGGTGGGTCCCTTGGCCACAGACTTCATCAGCGGAGCCCAGTACTAGGGCCCGGCTACCGCTCACCTGTTCCTGGGAGCACGCCACCCGGGTACACCCCTGGAATGCCAATACCTGCCAGCCAAGAAAGGAAGAACAGTGACTGTCTGTCCAGCTGATTGGTCTCACCCTTCCCAGCCCCGCACTAACGCTTTCTCCGTCACCTACCTGGTACCTTGGCAGGTTTCCCTCCAGCGCCTACTCCTGGCTGCACCCCAGTCTGGGGCACTCCAGCACCTGCAGGAGAGCCAGAGGCCATGAGCACTGGACCAGCAGACAGCATGGCAGGCCCCTGCTCCTCTCAGGGCACGGCACGGGGCAGTCAGAGTTGGGCCCAGGGGTGGGCAAGCCCTGGACTGCAACACATCTTACCTGTGGAGACCCCAACACCGCCGGGTCCACCCACACCGCCGACTCCGCCCACTCCGCCCACACCAGCACCTGGTTACGAAAAGGAAGTGCTGAGCCATAGTGCACAGTGGGATCCCAGCAGGAGACCGGATCCCCGGGTATTTCAGGCTCAGCCCTGGGCCCAGTGCCCAGCTTCGATGGACCATATGCTCCAGGGGTGCGAGCGAAGTTCAGTCTCAGTGGGCACTCTGCTGCGGGCTTCCCCATGCTGCCCTCCTGCCAATGGGTGCCATCCAATGTGGGCTTCCCCACACCGTCCCACAGGCCGCAGGAGTGACAGCCTCTGTTGCATCAGATAGGGAGAGGCCTCCCTGAGCCTGGACAGCAGGATCCCAGCCTGTCTGGTGCCAGCACTGCACACCCAGCTCTGTGCTTCCTATGCACCGACTCCTAACTCCAGCCAGTGCACTCGGCTCAGCACGTGGCCCACGGGCACAGTCTCCACAGGGCCCAGCCCTGCCCCTTCGCCCCCAGCTCTCTACCCCACCCCCTGGGCCAGCTCTAGCCCAAGAGACCAGCGCCTCTTGTTTGCCGCTTCACACCTGGCTGGAGACCAGGACCTACCCCAGAGAAGGCAGGAACCCCAGGGCTCATGGCAAGAGAGCCAGGCAAGACAGCAAGGTAAGGGCAGCAGGGGATACCTCTTCAAGCCCAGGGCATGCCAGCTTTGCCAGACCAGGGGAGGCCTGAGCTCCTGGTCTGGCTGCGGTGCCAGGTTCCAGGGTGTCTGGCGATGCCTATCCCAGTGCCTGTCCTAAGCCGGCTTGCAGATGAGTGCAACTGGTGCGTGGCAGTGGCAGCGGGCACCAGGGAGGGGCAGGGGCATGCAGGCACCCTGGATCAGCCCCTGCAGTAGAAAGTCATGTGCACTCACCAGCTTTGGCAACAGCTTTATAGGCTCCCAGCCCAGCCCCTGGGTAGATGCCGCCTGGGTAGACGCCTCCTGGGTAGAAACCTGGCTGGACTACGCCACCTGCCAGAGAGAAGGAGAGTTAGCTGTGACCCGGGAGACTCCAGCTCCATGGGCTGGCGGGATTCACGCCCAGTTAAAAGATCCCAAGATGCTGTGGGGCATCCAGCTGTCCTGTGGCTCCCCGAAAGGGGGGCTCCATCCCTGCCCCATGTGCTTGTGCCTGTGGAGTGGGAGCCAGGCCTGGAGTGCCTGGCACAATGGGGCTCTGACCCTGATGGGGGGGCTGAGGCTGAATCCCCATTGCTCAAGGCTGGGAACAGCCCCAGCTCCCTGGGCCCCACAGCTGCGAAGAAGCCTGGCTCCCCAACCCCCACGCACTGCAAGGTTGTCCAACCTCCTTGGCAGCCTTGCACATCTCAGCGCCTGTCTCTGTGGCTTGGGCAAACGGGGATCAGGAGAGGCGCACAAGGATCTGCAGTGTGCGCTGTATGCAAGGGAGTGCCCTGGGTGAGGGGTCCCATGCCAGCCCCTCCGGGGCAGGGCTCAGCCTCCCCAGAGAGCCCCTAAGAGTCAACACACTCACCTGGCTGCAGGCCAAGTGTGCCGAGTCCCCCGAGGCCTGGAAAGAGAAGATTGGTGAGAAGCACTACAATCTCACCCAGCACCATGCCAGGGGAAGGCCAGAGAAACCCTCCACTAACACAAGTCCCAGACGGTGTCGTCTGTGTGGGTGTGAACGGTTCTAGCCCATTCAGCCACGCTCAGCTGGAGCCAGTCGGGAGGGCCCAGTGGCAGCAGCCTGTCCTGCCTCTCGGAGAGGCAGCTTGAACACTGGCCCTTGGAACGAGAGCCATGGTGACTGCTGGAGCCTAGAGGCTCCCTTGTGCCCCGGGATTTCTCTGCCTCCTAGGCTGGGGAGAGGGAGTGACTCGGTCCAGCCCCCCTGGCTCCCAGAATTCCAGCTTTCATTTAGATAACCAGGGAGTCTCTCTCCCGCATGGCTGCCCTCGAGCGTACCCAGTGCAGGCACTCACAGGCTCATGGATCCGCAGGCCAGAAGGGACCAACTAGTCTGACTTCCTGCATAACGCAGGCCGGAGACCTGTCCCTAAATCATTCCTAGGGCAGAGCTTTTGGAAAAACACCCACTCCTGAGCTACACATCCCCAGTGCTGGAGAATCCCCCATGCTAGGGTGACCATATTTCCCAAAGGGAAAACAGGACACCCCCAGCTGCTCGTCCGAGCCCCACCCTTTCCTCTGCAAGGCTGTTGCTGGTCGCTGAAACCCTGCTGCCCCACCCCTCTGCATGCTGGAATGCTGCCCCCCCCCACCAAGCCTCCCTCCCTCTGCGAGGGGCTGGCATCTCCACTCGCCCCCCACGTGTTCTTTTGCACTGCACCCCTGAGCAAGTCGGCAAGAGCGAGCGGGACAAATGCCCACTTCCACAAAACAAGTCAGGATGGCTGGGACAGGGCTTAAAAAAGGGACTGTCCCGGCCAAAACGGGATGTATGGTCACCCTACCCCATGTTCCAGTGGCTCGTTATTCTCACTGTTAAACATTTACGCCTGATTTCCATTCTGAATGTGTCTAGCTCCAATTTCCAGCCCCGGGAGGATGTTGGCCCTTTCTCTGCTATACTGAAAAGCCCATTGGTAAGTATGTTTTCCCCGTGGAGACATTTGACTGTGATCTCGTCACCGCTGACCCGTCTCTGTGCTCAGACACTGCGTGAGTCTGCAGAGAGCCTGAGCAAGAGCACTGTGTGGGCCACCTGCCTCGCTTCCTTTCCAGCCGCCGCTGAGCTCAGGGCCTAAGGAGGAACAGCCTTGGTAAGGATCTCCTGGCTGACCGCAGCACACAGCAATGGAGAGGGGCTGGATCCTTGCTTTTGGCTCCTCAATTGGGTGGGGCTTGCGGTGTGGGAGGAGCTTTGGAGAGTCACTTCCCTCCGCACATGTGCCCTGGGGTGAGGAGCTGGTGCAATGAGATGGGAAGCGCCCTAGGAGCAGGGCAGGGATAACGAGAACAGCTGCACGCTGGGGCAGGTCGAGTGGCTCCCTGCCCCGCCCTACTGTGCCCATCTGTCTCTTCCCCATCACTCTGTGTCCCATCCCTGCCACCCTCTGGGCTCTGTCCCCCCATGCCGCAGGAGGCAGCGATGGGACTGGGTCTGAAATGTTTACGAGTGTGGAGCAAGTCGCTCTGGCTCAGGACTTTGATGCCTTCCAACATCTGTGCCTAATCATCCGCTCGCTCCTCCAGACACAAATTCCACTGCCCTTGGCTGAGGGCGGCTGCCAGCACTCAGGCTGGGCCTGCACAGCTCCGGACCGTTTGGGTTTCATTACCCACAAACACAGGCCTTGTTTTTCTTTCCACACACTGAAATTGGAGACCTGCCTTGCCAGGGACACCCGCGGAGATGCAGACGGACAGGCCCAGGGGCCAATTGCATTGCTGCTCACCTAGGCTCTGGGCAGGGCCAAGGTTGGGTGGGCAGTCTGACCTGGGAGTACCCCAAAGGGGTTGGAGCCTCCTGGCCCCACTCAGACGGGCACCAGGCAGAACGGGTGATCTCCAGCCCCAGTCCCCGGGCCTGATGCAGCATCTCTCACCTGCCTCCCAACGTGCCAGGGTCCCAGCCCCCTTCCTTCCTGCCCCCTCCCTAGCAACCAGATGAGCTAGGACCCAGCTGCATGCCCCTGATCTGATGATGACACACACACTGGTCCAGCCGTCCCACTGGACAACACGGTGATGACACATGCGCTGGCCCAGCCTGGCATAGCAGAGGGCCCCATGATGAGACGTGCACAGGCCCAGTGATGACACGTGCACTGCCAGCGTCATGCCTCTTGAAGTAAGTGTGGATCCATCCTACAACAACCAGACGATTCCTCAGCAACTCCATCCACAGCTAGAGGGTGTCTCCAGGCACCATCGCAGCCTTGGGGCAGCCTCTCACCCCACAGGGATGAAGCCATGTCTAGCTATGCCAGAGAGGTTTCTGGGAAGCACCCTGCCCAGCTGAGCCTACTGCAGGCATTGCAGGGGAAAGGCTGGGCTGGGCACTGCCATCTCAGGGACCTGAGAGGGCTCCTGGTGGCCCTATGCGGAGCCTCCTGCAGGCTGCATGTCTCTCATTGTAAATGGGACCCTCTGCCCCACAGACGCCTCCTGCTCCAGTGTGGGGTTTGCCTGAGCAAAGGCACCAGGCTGGTTGTTTGGCCTGGCACTGAATCCTGCAAGGCGGAGAGAGGCTCTGCCAGCTTTCCAGGGCACAACCTCCTGGCAGCCGCTGGGTTTGGCACGGGGCTGACATTACTGCAGCTTTACGTCTGCCCTGAGAGGGACACAACTGACTTGGAGCTCCTGAGCTCTGTCCCTAGCGCCAGGATGGCTGACTGACAGACAGACAGGGACGGATCAGCTGGGGGAGCCAGGATCCTCTCCCTGCCCTAGGGCTCTGCATGCTGCAGTTCCCCCAGCCGTTCTGGGCACCGGGGAGGGCTGGGCTCTGGCTCAGTCTCCTGGAGTTGGCATTGAACGCCAGGCTAGCTGAGGCCTGACATGCCTTCACCAGGCCTCGCTGGCAGCAGAAGAGGCTGCCTGGAACCAGTGCCCAGGGGCTGCCAGGCCCTGAACCAGGATGGTGCAGATGACCATAGGCCAGCAACTCTGCCGTGGCCTGGGCCTTCCTCTCATCAAGGCATTGGCTGCCACTCTGCCCCCTGTGGATTGGGGACAGTGCCAACCAGGGCTCCAGCGCCACACCTCGTGCCAGTGCTCCAAGGGGTCATGGGCTGCCAGCCCCAGGGTATGAAGGAGGCCAAGGCCGCCCAGCCTTTCCTTTCCCACACGAGAACCTGGTGAGTTCTCAGCTCCCAAGGTGCCCGCCGGCGTGAATCACTGCGTTGGGCACCAGGCACGGACAGCAGTGGTCCTAAGGCACTGGGGGAGGAGGCGGGGGCAGCTGGCAAAGCAGGGAACTACCGAGTGTGGGAGGGGGTCTGAGCTGGGGCAGTGTGATGTGCTGGCACGGGTGCCATCAGGGCACAGCGAGCAGGGCTGAGGCTGGGAGGCGAAAGGCAGCTGCAGAGGAGTCGTGTTTGCCAAGGCAGCATCCTGAGTGGTGACCCCCAACTCAGCCCCATGCAAGAGAAACAAGGGCAGCAGCTGATGGGAAACCCCTACATGTCCACGCCTGGCTTCTGCTGAGCCCTGCCCCTAGCAAATGGAGCCCTGCGCTGTCCAGCAGAGAACCCGCAGATGGGGAGACGTTCCTTACCTGGCTTGGGAGGTTTTGCTCCAACACCGAGCCCTAGAGAAAAGCAAGAGCCCAATGGATGAGTGAGTCTGGTGCTTGAAGGGAGATGCGCAAGGCGCCAGCCAGCCCCTTGCCTCGGGAGGTTGTGTCGCACAGGTGGCTGGCCTGGCACCAGCGGGATGAACCTGGCACACTCGCCATGCACCTCTGGGCAGAGAACCGCCCCCGCATTGCCCCACCTGAGAGCCAGACACATGGGTTCGTAGGCCCCACGAGGCTGGTCTCCTGGACAGCATGGGTCTGAGAACTTCCCTGACTTGATCCCTGGGTGGCTGGAGTAGAAGCTTCCAGATGTTAGTCTGCGAGACCGAAGGGCCCTCCCCCTGGAGAATCCAACAGCACCGCAGAAGAGGGCATGGGCCACCCTCTTTGGTTATGGGGGGACGCTGTAGCTCAGGAAGCAGATGCCTCCACACCAAGGTGAAGGACCCACTACAGGTGCTTCTGCACAAGGGGTGTGTGGGGGGGGGGGTCCCTGGGGGGAGCCGCTGACCAGTGCCCAGGAGAAGTGCTTGCTCCCAGGGACTCAGCCAGCAGTGAGCCTGCTTGCCAGCCACTGCTGCCTCGGGCCATGTAGGTGGAGACTGTGGGTTGTGTATCTCAGGGCAGTACTCACCTGCACCCCCAAGTCCAGCTCCAACCCCTAGGCCTCCTGCTCCCAGGCCTCCAACCCCAGCAGCTCCTGCAAACAGCAGCACATGCTCAGCGCCCTGCCCTCCAGCCCTGCCCGCATCACGGCTTTGGAGTAATCAGTACCTGCGGGTGTAGCCCTGAGAGCTGCCATCCCATTCTACCATGCTCCAGCCCAGAGCCACAGGAACAAGAGCCAGGAAGATGTGGGCAGCTGGTCCCCTACCAGCTTGGGGTCGGACTGCCCGAGAGAGACCCCTCTTTCCTTTGGGTAGTGCGCAGTGAAAGGTTGCTGCAAGCACCCTGCTGAAGGTCACTGCCTCTGTCGGGCCCACCCCCGCCCAGTCAGGGCTGCAGGCTGTGGCTAAAGGTACGTGGTGAGACAGCTCCTTTCCAGTGCGCTCCGCAGCAGGGACAGCCCCTGCTGCACTCTCAGTAGATGGTGCTGCAGAGCACAGAGTCCCACCAGCCAGAGCTGGGCTCTCAGGCCAGTGATCTGCCAGGTTCCCTGGCTCTAGGGTGACCAGACACCCCGACTGTCCGGATTTTGAGCAGTTTGTCCCGCGTCCCGACCGAAGTACGGTCGGGACACCATTTGTCCCGAAATTTTTTTCAGGTGGGTTTTTTTGTTTATTTGTTTGTTTGTTACACTCACCCGTCCGGGTCTTTGGCGGCAATTTGGCGGAGGGTCGTTCAGTCGCTGACGGTCTTCGGTGGCATTTTGGCGGCGGGTGCTTCTGTCTTTGGCTGCAAGACTTATTACCTTCTGCCGAAATGCCGCTGAAGACCGTCAGCGACTGAAGAACCCTCCGCCGAATTGCCGCCGAAGACCCGGACGGGTGAGTGTAACAATTAAAAAGGCGCCCCCCTGCGGCGGTCCCGATATTTTACAGTTAGCATCTGGTCACCCTACCTGGCTCCCAGAAGGACTCCAGGGGCTGGCTCTGTGCTGGGAATGCAGGCTCTGAATTCCGTCACGGCCCGGTGCAGGGGCTGAGCCCTGATCTACATAGGGATGGCAGTGCCTAGTCCAGGATTTAGGCGACCAAGTCCCAGGTCTAGGCCCCACTGCAATCCACAAAGCTCCCGCTCATGCCTGGAGGTGCCTAAACTCTCAGTACCTAAGTTTTGAAGGTTAAAGTTCCCTCAGTGCCTAAATTTCTGCATCTGGGTACATGTCCTGCTGCCTTCTCTAGGCACCCGCCACCCGCCTCCCGCCTAAGCCCCAATGCAAAGGGGGGAAGACAGGCATTCCTCCACCTGAGTCATGTGCCAAGCCCCATCCAGGGGGCGGGCTCAGAGGCCACCTGCCAGATCAGGTCCCATTCAAAATCCAGCTGGAGGAGTATTGGTGCTTATCTTATAACGCGTAGCCAGGGGCTAGCGTGCTCACCTGGGATGTAGGTGACCCAGGTTCAGTTCCCATCCCCCGCAGGATCTGAACAGGCGTCTCCCAGTGCTCTAATGACGGAGCCATGGGATATTCTGATGGGGGGAGGCTCCCTCCAGCTCTCCTGCTGAAGCTGTTCTATGGTAGGGTGACCAGATGTCCCGATTTTGGGGGCTTTTTCTTATATAGGCACCTATTACTCCCCATCCCCGTCCCGATTTTTTACACTTGCTGTCTGGTCACCCTATTCTATGGGGCTAACTAATCCGAGGTTAGAGGAGGGGGTGGGCCCAGGGGCTTCCACCTCCGAAGCATGTGCCCTAACCACAGAGAGTCTCGCTCTCTCTGGCCAGTGACTGGCCAGCATTAATCCCCAGAGGCACAACCATTGGGGCAGAAAGGGACAGCAAGAGAATGGCTCTATAGGCCAGTGCTTTGGGACCCCCGGGAGGTGGGGGACCCCTGGTTCACTGAGAGCCTGAGGGGGCCCCACAGCAGAATAGCCCCGTGCTCTCACCCCTGGAGTAATAGTCACAAGGCGGGCTCCTCCTCCTCCAGCTGTTGTGCGTGGCGCGAGGGACACACCTACCTCACGCCTGCGAGAAACCAGTAGGGGCCTGCGCCCCGCAGACTCCAGTGGAGGGCTTCCTGCTGAACCCTTCCTGGGTTGCTAGCAGAGACAGGTGCCTGTCTGAGGACACGTCCCTGCCATCGGCCGTGCCCACTGGCTAGCTTAGGTGGCTCCTTGCCCCACGTGCTGACTTTTGTGCCCAGCAGTCCAGGCACTGTGCAGGGAGCCTGGGCACCTACATGGGCTTTGTGGATTGCAGCGTGTTCCAGTGGATCCGGGCCTGAGCCCATGCAGCAACTCAGGCCTGGAGGGGACCCCCGGCTGTCATAAACCAGGGGCAAGACAAAGGAACCGGGCTACAACATGACTCATGTGACAGGGCTGGGCTACAGCATGCCTGGCTGATAGGCGTCCTTCTGCTGTGTTACCAGGTGTCACCCTGCTGCCACCACCCCAGCTGCCTGGATTGTCCCTCAGGCACCGGTCAGGGCAGCCAGCGCACTAAGGCCAGGGCACGGCTGCTTTGCTGGGGCCCGGGCTGCGACTGTGCTCACTGAGCAGAGACAGCTCCCCTGGGTTCTGTGTCTCCCCGTCCCCATGCAGGGCCACGCGCAAGTGAGGACCAGAGCCGGGACAGGAACCAGGCTCTACCTGACTCAGCTCAGGCCCAGCCACGCCGAGCAGCTCTGCCTCTGCCCAGAGGGACCATGGCCAGCCTGCTGGAGGGGGCTGTGCGGAGGGGTGACACAGACAGCTCTGCTCGCCTGGATCCACGCCTGACTGTCCCTTGCGGGGTTCCCACCCTTGCACATGGCTCCTGCTGGCCAGATTCATCCAAACACACTCCTGTTGGGGCGAGGGAGACATTTCCTGAGCTCCCAGCCCTGGAGACCCCTCTCCCCTGGGGCCAGCACCCCCTTCTGGGACAGGCTGATATTTCCATCCACCAGCCTGGGGACCCCTCTCCCACTGCGCTCTCACTTCTCTTCCCATGCAGGGGAGAGCGTGCCCATTTCCTGCTGCTTCCCGTGTCCCGCTGGGGGGGCGGAGGTTCTTACCTGGGTAATATCCTAGAGCCGGAACTCCCCCTCCAGCACCAGGCACCCCTGCAAAAGGAACAGGCAGCGTCACGCACAGCCAGCCAGGGAACACACCCACCAGGCCCCGTCCATCCAGTAGTTGGCTCATAGGGAGCCCAGAAACCTTCCCAGGAAAAACAGGGAAAGCAGGACTGCCCCTTGAGTGCACGAGTTCCGGGGCAATGTCGGGTACCAGCTTTGCTGTGGGAGAGAGCCATTCCCTGCACCTCCCTGTGCCACAGTTTGTCCATCATTACTGTGGGGAAAATGACACTGACCCGCCTTGGGGAAGTGCTTTGAGATCGACAATGGGCAAGTGCGATGTAGGTAGCAGCATGGGGTCGGTGCGCTCAGAGGCCCTGTCATTTTGCTAACGGGACCCAGAAAAGCCGCATGTGCCCCTGAGACTCAAGGTGGAGGGCCGTGACACCCCTCAGTCCCAAGGTGGAGGGCTGGCGGAGGGCCGTACACCACTGAGGGCCCTGGCAGAGGGCTGTACACTCCTGAGGGCCCTGGTGGAGGGCCGTACACCACTGAGGGTCCTGGTGAGGGCCGTACACTCCCGAGGGCCCTGGTGAGGGCCGTACACCCCTGAAGGCCCTGGTGGCGGGCTGTACACCCCTGAGACTCAAGGCGGAGGGCCGTGACACCTCTCAGTCCCAAGGTGGAGGGCTGTACAGCCCTGAGGGCCCTGGCGGAGGGCCGTACACCTCTGAGGGCCCTGGCGGAGGGCCGTACACCGCTGAGGGCCCTGGTGAGGGCCATACACCGCTGAGGGCCCTGGTGGAGGGACGTACACCCCTGACGGCCCTGGTGGAGGGACGTACACCGCTGAGGGCCCTGGTGGAGGGTCGTACACCGCTGAGGGCCCTGGTGGAGGGCCGTATACCCCTGAGGGTCCTGGTGGAGGGCCGTACACCGCTGAGGGCCCTGGTGGCGGGCTGTACACCCCTGAGGCAAGGGAGTACCTGGCTCTCCTCCCTGGGGCAGGAGTCTGGCCTGGCTCTAACTCCTATCCAGCTGGTGTAAGACTCCGGGGAGTGTCTCCTCGTGGTGGGGGACAGTGTCCCCAGGCCCTGTCTGGGGCTAACAGGCCCGTCTCCAGGGCCCTGATCTCTGGGCAGCTGAGCATGCTGCGGGGGGAAGGGCTCGGCTCTGGGATGCCGGCTGTTCCTGTAACACCCCACACAGCTGTGCTCTGGGACAGCCCCGGAAAGGGGGAGGCCCACGGTTGTGTCAGTAGAGGCAGCCCTGCAGCAGTGTCTGTGCCAGCCCAGTGCTGCCTGGGATTCAAGCCAGCATCATTTCTCAGGCTGGGGAGGGGAGGCTGAGCTACAATGAACCTGATCGCTGCCATGAGGCTAGGAGAGCCCCAGCTGATGTCCTCAGGCAGGATCATCGCCCCAATCCCACCGACACCTGTCCCCATGCAGAGCGGGGACAGGGCCCATCTTTCCTGCCATTGCCCTGCTCCTAGCTAGCATTAGACAGCCCCGGGGCGCTGCTGCATGAACCTCCATCCCTTTGCATAGAACCATACGCTTCTGTTGACAAGCTCTCTTGTGTGGGCTCAGTGCTGGGACGGCTGTTGTGTTTAGAGCAAACCCTGTGTCTATGTACAGGGCAGCACCAGTCAGGTCTCCCAGACAGTACAAAACGGCCCGTGGTGTTTGGGATGGGGGAGCTGGAGTTCCAGGGAGTATCCCAGGCCCAGATCACTAAACTCCTTGCAGGGGAGCCAGCGGAGGCTGGGTTTTCTGGGAGCCAGAGGCTGCCATGCTGGGCATGGAGCTCTGCCCGGGTGGCCTAGTGCGACCTCTGTGTAAAACGGGGCAGGAGGCTTGCTTGCCTGCCCTGGGCGCGGCCTGCGTCTGGGAGGGCACAGATGTCCTTCCCACTGCCCACAGGAGCTGGCCCGGTCCCAGAGTGCACAGCTGCCCCTCCGCAAGGGCTGGTCTGAGGGGGCATTGCTCCCACATTGGAGAGGGGCGACGAGTGGCAGCCCTGCTCCCACATCCGCCCAGCCCATGAGTGATGCTCTGCATCAGTCTCTGCCTAGCCAGGTCCTTCTGGGCCAGCCCGCCAGCGGGGTTATGTCCTTTGGGCGCGGAAGCTGAGGGAGTCACTAGCAGCTGTCCAAATAGACATGCCCAGCAGATGGCGTCGAGGGGCTGAGACAGAGCCTGCCTGCGTGCGGCTGCTCTCACTGCTGGGGAGTTTTATCAGGCTTTGGAGAAGTTCTCATTTTCTTCCCAACGCCCAGCCCGGGCGCCCTACAGCCACTCCAGCCAGGGACACGGACACGTGTCCAGCTGGGACAAGCCTTCCTAGCGCTCTAGGCTCTAGCTGCTTCTGCCCCTGGGGGAGGAGACAACGTCCTGCCTGAGCCATAGACATCCCCAAGACAGAGATATAGACTCCCAGCCTCCAGGCACGCACAGAGCACTAGTGCCAGGGTTCACACTCACAGCCCCCTCCCCCACAGACGGCACTAGTGCCAGGGGTTCACACTCACAGCCCCCTCCCCCACAGAGGGCACTAGTGCCAGGGTTCACACCCCCAGCCCCCAAGCACACACAGGGCACTAGTGCCAGGGTTCACACACACAGCCCTTAAGTGTACATGTAACTCACACACCTCCTGGGTGTGGTGTTCTGCCCCATCTAGTGGCACTGAGACCACGTAGAGAGAGATTAATTAATCT